TTTATTTTTTAGGTTTATAAATCAATCATTTTTTTATCACATTATTTCTTCTCTTTTTATATATAACTTAAATTAATTCTTTTATTAAATGAAAACAATATATTGAATTCTTGTATAAAAAATGTTTTAATAGTTTTTTTTTTATTTTATTCATCACATTTTAAATAATATGTAAAAAAATAGATTTTCTTTAATAAAGTTAAAATATTTTTTCTTTTAAGAACTTCTTGTATCTAAAATATTAACTAGAATACATAAACATTAATTTTCTTAAACTTAAAACATTTTTCCTTTCTTTTCACTAAAACCTTTGTTTATACTTAATTAACAAAAACCCAAAAATAAATAAAATACTTAATAAATATATTAGGTTAATATTTGCATCAACTGTAAACAATCACATTCACATATACTTTTGATACATTGCTTTTATTCTTATACATTGATACATGTTACATTGAGAATGTGATTCGATTTGGTTGTAAATATTATTTGGACACTACTATCCTGATAAGTCTCATCCCCATTTGTAAATATTTGTAACCCCATTCTCGGATACTTATTTGTAATAGCTTAGACTTTAAATTCCCGCAATTTATCGCTTTCTATATACTGTATAGTAATTAGGGTTTGTATGCGAAGATTCAAAATCAACCGCTAGATAACCTAATACAAGACAAATGCATGATAATCAATACACCACTCACACTTGCACTCCTAGGGTAATCCCACTCGTTGCCTTCAAAAATGGGTCATGCTTGCATGTTGAGTTTCTTTGGCAAAACAAAACAAATCAAATGATCATAGTCCCTCGATGACGCTTTCGAAGTTGCCTAAACAAAATGATCATAGTCCCTTCAAGCAAAATTGCCAAAGACACTTGGCACCATTGCATTCATGGTCCATACGATGACCCGCGCCTGTCCCGTTAACATCCTAACACAAGATTGTCCACCAAATACAATGGTGGAACAATACTGTTAAAAGGGTTAAAAACATGAGAAAAATCTTTGAGTAAATTTAGGGGTAGACAACTCTTAGTTACTTGATCAACTTGCAAAACACACTTGCCTACTTTCAAAACACACTCCACAACACACTTTCAAAACAACTCTCAAAAACATTGAAATATCTTTTCAAAAAGACAAACACCTTTGCATATACTCAAACAAGAGTCATTTCAATGGTTGCCTAGACAAGGCATCTTTTTCAAAACATTTTCAGAAACCACACACACAAAGCACCATTTCAAACAATTGAAAATCAAAGGCAAGTGATCTAAAACGAGTAACTAAGAGCCCATGGATAACCATGGATGAAAAGGGTGCTAATACCTTCCCTTTTCATAATCTACCCCCCGAACCCACGAAAATATCTCAAAGGTTTTTTGCTGTGCTTTTTTAACCTTTCCTTAGGATAAAATAAAAAGTCGGTGGCGACTCTTGCTAAACCGAACAAGTGCGAAAACAAACGCAAAACCTCAAGTCAGTTCTCCCACCGTATCACAATCTTTTTCGATTAACTCATGCTTTGAAGCTTTCAAAGACAGTTTTCAGGAAGGGACGGTAGCAAAGAACACGGCGAACGTCCTTGCGGCTCTATGGAAAACAAAGGTATTTTCTAACATTTTAATGTTTGGTTGGAGGTTGATTCTCAATAGACCTCCTACTCGAGATCAATTAGTTAAAAGAAGAATCATAATAGAGGAAAGGGACAAGGAATGCATTTTCTGGTCTATGGAGCTGGAATGTTTTGGATTACCTTTTCTCATGGTCCGTTCTCAATAAAAGACTTTTGGTGGCGGTTTTCTCTTGGATGGATGTTAAAGATGATTTGAACCTTGATGACCTCTCTTGTTTTCTTCTTTTTAGCCAGAAGGTAAAGAATAAGAGGGATCGAGATATCATCACGATTATTTGGTTGGCAATATCTTGAAATATTTGGTTAATGTGAAATGCGATCATCTTAAAAGATAGCGTCTTTAGTTTTGAGCATTGTATATCATTCATTATTTTTTTTATTTTGAAAATGGATCTCTATTAATTGTTATCGGTTGAGTTCGAATACCTACTTTAACTAGTATATCAATCCTTTATTTTATTTTAGAAAGATCGATTGAATTGAGATCTTTTATATTTAAGTTCAAGTATCTCTTGTACTCGTTTTTATTGATAAGAATAGTTACTTATTAAAAATAAAATAAAATTCTTTTTGAGAGTTTAAAGTTAGTTTTGTAACATAAATTTTTATTTTATTTTTTAATACTTTTGAATTTCTTACCTTGTATTCATAGAACGCAATTTCACAGTCTTATTTAATTTTAATTGCAAAAACTGGGTCCTCCTTTATATTTTGTCGGCAAATTAAAATGATTCCATTATTGTCGGAAAGGAAAAAATTTTCCTTTTCCAATACGGATTAATACAGACAGAAAGACAAAGATCCTGAAATAAAATGAAATTGAAATTATGCACTGGAGTTAGCTTTCTACATGAGCTTGGTCCCATTAAAGCATAAAGAAACATGACCAAAAATGTCCTTGTCATTTCAATTGATATAGAAAAAGCATACTAAAGCTTAAACCTGCAGAAGAAGGTATGGGCCAACATCAAACAACCTTTAAAAAACACAAAAAAGAAAGCACCTAGATATAAATAAATTTGTATATAGTAAGTTTGAATAAAGATGGAAAAGAGTTGGATAATAATGTATATATGTTAACGTGAAAGGGGGGCAAGTCTGATCACTACATCAAGATATGCAAAACCCTTAAAAGATGAACCCACTATTCATATTATTTCCTTTTTCATTGTTAATAATGTAATAGTACTTGCAATTTAACTTTGCTTTCATTGGAAAAAGGAGTCTCTTATGAGCTCCCAACCTAATTCTTTCACCACCATAAAATACTATAGCTCAGGGTTTTTGTGGGGGCCATACAAAATTATGATTATGGTATGAGAAAATATATTTAATGTATAGCCAATTTTGATATTAAGGAATTGACTTGCAGCTAAAGCAATAAGAGTTCTTTAAGCATATCTTAGAGGAATTATTAAGAATATTGATATAAAATTGATAATTATGTATTTTTGTGATAGATACACTACTTATTTATATAAAGTTTTAAAGTGATAAGTTAGTAAATTCTCTTATTCACTTACTTCTACGAATATTGATATAAAGTTGAGGATTATGTATTTTTGTAAGAGATATATCATTTATTCATTTAAAACTTTAAAGTAATTGGTGAGTGAGTTCTCTCACTTATATATGTTTGAGTCTCCATATTCTTATATAATGTGAGGTTATTTTCTCACTTACTCACACTTGTATTTTATTCTAACACTTGATAGTTATACAGAAATAAGATCCTGAATTGTAGGTTTGAATCTACAATATTTCACTTATTTAGTTTTAAAAAGGTGAAATTCAAGTCACTAAACAGTTCGACAAAAAAACAGATAATGAGATTAACGTTAAAATTATAAAATAGATGTTAGATCTTCGCATCAATATCTTAAGAAAAAAATTCATTTCGACTGTATTTATATTCTTATTTGAATTTTTGTCAATTATAAATATGAAGACATATTAGATAATATAAATATTAATATTCATCTCAAATATACCTTGTTTAAAACAAAGAGGATATTTAAACTCAACCAAACTCATTTGAAACATTTGATGTTCAATTCTGCATCCATGTCAGGGATCATAACGAAAAACGAAAATTAATCAATAGTTCGAATTTAAAAATGAAATAGATAAAAACGGTCGATATTCTAAGTTGTGTTATTATCATGCTTTTATATAAATCTTTCTCTCTTATAAATTTAATATTATATTAATTAATAAAAAGATATGTGTTTTAACCTGTCACACTTGACTTGAACTCAAAAATTTAGAATTCCCAACTCATTAAATCTTTATTAGAAAATATGGGAGAAAATATAAAAGAAGAAAGACCATTTCAAAGGCACCTTGCTGGCCACTCAATGAAAACTATGCACCTTTTAATGAGATTATATTCCCCAAAGCATTAACCCAACTTGATGGCCGTCCTAAGATTCTATTTCTATTGTGCCCATAAACGTAGATAATGACCTCATTTTGACATGTGTAGTTTCATTTACTCTACTCACTAATTAAATAAATTCCTTAAATTTTAATATTGGTAAAGTCCTAATAAAGCTGATATCATCTTCACATACCAAAACACCAAACCCGCTAGCTTCTTTTGGACAAATTTAGGAAAATAAAATAAGATTATTGTTATTATGGTAGGGTAGAGTAAGGCTAATAAGTTGGTTAGCTACTATTAATGATCTTAAATTAAAACATAAAATATTATCCAATCAAAGTGTTGTCCTTCTTAACTATAATATTGTTAGTTAAACATACAAATTAAAACAATTGTCCTGCTTATCTCGTTGGTCAAATCTATACATCACAACAAATTTCTTATTTAGATTAACTATAATTCAATTAATTAATCTTTATTAATGATCAACAACCATGTACCTAGTCAATAATATGCTTAGAAACCTATATATATTTGGATAGTGACATTTAGTTATTTTAGACTGTGAGAAATTAAGACTATACTATTAAGAACAATAAAATAATTAATTATTAATATCACAACCACTGGATAATTTATTACTACTATTTTTCTTAGGTAGTTGAAAAGGTCCTAATGGTCCCAAATTTTATGATAAACTTAAAAAGAATGAAATATGATAATCACTACTCACTACAATTAAGACTTACTATCTAACAACTAATTAATATTTATTTATTATTTAAAAAAACGAAATAATAAGAAAAAAAGAGAGTAAATTAGGTTATGATTCCTTTTTCATTAATCAACAGATGCAAATTGCTTTGGTTTTGGTATTACTAACCAAACTCTGAAAAATAAATCCCAATACTAAACGAAAATTAAACCAAGTTTCCAGTTACGCACGTGCTAAAAGAACTGCAAACACGTGCGAGTGTCAAGGCCTCCATGCACTGGCCCACACCACCGGGTGTTCCCTCCACGTCAAGAATATTCCGGCGTCGCTACACGGCGTCATCGACCACCCTTCCTTATACCTTCTCAACAACGCTCTCACATCATCGCTAACTTCATCACTAAACGGCACCGTATTAAACCCTCCGCCATGCAAACGCTGCGACCACCTCACCGCCGTCTCCCTCCGTTCCATCGACTCCGCCGGAGCACACGCCACCAAATCAACTATCCCTCTCCCCGCCTCCCTCTCCAGCATCAAACGCTCGTTACTCGTCTTCGGAAAACTCTCTTCCAATGCATCGAAATAAACCCTAAACCACCGCAAACACTCTTCAAAACCTCTCACGAATTCAAATCCTTCGAAACCAAAATCCAAATCAGCTTCTTCTTCCACCACCGTAACTAGCCTCGGACGCAACCTCATCAACGAACCTATCAACGCGTCTCGACGGTTACGGTTACGGTTACCGCTACCGTTACTATTACCAACGCTTATCGAATGCAAAGTATTAACACAATTAACCGCCAAGGCTTCATCCTCCTTAATATCCAAACCGGAAAAATCCAAATCGGAAAGATCGCCACCGTGATGAATAACGTTGAATTTAAATGGAACCCCCATAAGTCTAGCGAATTTCTCTAATCTTGCACCAATTTCCTTCATGACTTTTTGAACAGAACCACTAGCAGTTAAAACCGTGGTTAAACGGAGGTGTGGAGTGTCATCGGTTCGAGTCGCCAACGCTTCAAAAAGCGTAGGCCATTGAGTGCAATATGTGTTACTAATATCAATTATATGCAACTTTGAATCTCCTTCTAATGCTTCTAAGATTGCGCCATTACAAGCTACATGGCCGAAAGTTGTCCATGGACTAACTTCTTGAAATTTCAAAACCGTTTTTCGTGTTGATTCGAACGAGCAAGTTTTCTCGGAAGCAGAAGCTAGGGTTCTGAAGGTTCGGACCCCAGCTTCGGTCATACGAGAGAATAAAGCTTGGAGAAAATAAGCAGCTAGTTTTTGTTCCGTGTCGCCGTAAGGGGAGCTTAGTTCGTTAAGCATCCACATGAGTTGTTGTAAACGATTGCTATTTTTTTCTGCTATGGCACGTGCGGTTTCGAGGAGGATGTTGTGGGCCCACTTTCCGGTTAACTCAAAGTTGAAATGATCAATTGGAGGTGGTGGTGGGGGTGTGGAGGTTTTAGTAGTGATTGAAGTTTGTGGTTGATTATAAGGATAGTAGTGTTTGGAAGAAGATGAGGAAAGGTCTTCTTCATCCATGAAAAAGTTGAAGCATTCTTCTTCTTGTTGTTGAGGGTAATATTGGTGATAGTTTTGTTTGGAGGATCGAGAGCTACTAGATGTTGTTGTTGTAGTGGAGTTGAGAGATTGATGAGGTTGGTGTTGGTGTTGAAAACTGACAAGTCTAAACAACGTATCCATTTAAGTTGTATGAGACCCACATCAATAATCTAGTTGTTGTTGCACAAAGGTATATCAATATTGCATGTAACGTGTTTTTAATGATGGTGGTGGGAGCAAATTTGGATTCTAGTTAAGTGTAATTTAGAAGGGTGAAATGGGAATTAGAAAAATTGATGGAAAGTGGTGTGTGTGGTGTGGTGGGGTGGGGTGGGGTGGGGGTGACTCGAATAGAATGAGTTATGGTCTTCTTTTTAAGGGAAGTGGAGTATTGGGTTTGGGATGGTGATTTTTATCTTTATCTTTATTGAAAGAGTTAAGTGTATGGAGAGAAAGAAAGTGAATTGATTGGTGAATAAGTAAATGGCCTAGCTGATGCTAAAAAAGGAATAGGGTCTGACAAAAGATGAAAATTAACAAAGTGCGTAGTGAGAAGAGACACTTTTTATTCCTTGAGAGAGAGTGGGAGAGCAGGCGTGCCAGATGGGAAGAAAGAGTAAAGGTGCCGGCGTGAATTATGTTCATCAATCTCACTAACATTCATCATTACTTGAGTTTCTTGCCTCCTAATTACTCTTCAAACACTGCAAATATATGTAATGATGTGTTTCTTAATACCAAAATGCACTCCTTCGAATACTTCTAGGGCATGCCTTCTTACTTTATCTGCACACTTATTTGTAATATAAGCACACCCACTAATCAATCAAAACCTACCACACTCGTTTTAGTAAGATTATTTACAAAAGTTTACTTTAATTTTTCTTTTTCGCTTTTTATATTTTATATTATTTTCTATTTTTTCCATCTTATAATTTAGTAAACATTCAACTTTTATTCACTATAATGATTTTATTTAATAAAATTCAACATCATATTTCACTATTTTTATTTTTTATTTTTATTTTCTTTTATATTTTTATTTTTATGATTTTATATTAATACTATCAATTATTGATAGAAATAAAATTAAAATAATTAAGAGTTAAATAATGTATTTTAATTTTTTTTTAATTTAATAATTTTTTTGAATTTTTTTCTATTTTTTTTGAATTTTATAGGAATAGTCATTATTAAAACAAATAAAAATGGATAAAATAAAAGTTTATTGGAGGTTAAATAATAAAAATAAAGAGAAAATTGGTTTTTTTGTGTGTGTCCAAATCAAATGATCAAATCTTTATTTATAGGTAAAAAAATGAAAATTTTTGATGAAAATAAAAATAAATCAATAAATAATTTATAATAAAATAATTAATTTCATGTAATTAAAAAAAATTAAAAATCTAAATAATTACAACAATCAATAAGATTTTGCAAAATATTATATGTGACACATTCCCTCCTCATTCAACATGTTGAATATTTTCCGCACATATTAATGTATCTCTTCAACCCTTTATTCAACACCTCATTATACCTATTCAACTATTGAATAATTTTTTCAACACATCCATTGTATATAGTCTAACCACCACACCTTAATTTTTGTTAGACTATTATAGGGCTCTTTGTTTTACTTTAAAAAAAATTAAAAATAGTTTTTATGAAAAAAAATTAATGTTTTTTATTTTTTTTATAAATTAAAAGATTAATTTTGATATATAATAAAATAAATATATATTATTAAGAATATAGTTAAAATTACATAATTTTTCAAAAAAATATTTCTCAAATAATTTTTATAAAAAGTTATTTAAAATAACTTAAAGTGATTTTTTTTTATAAATTTGATATTAAAAAAATTATAATAAAATAATAAAAGAGTTAAAATATTATTTTATGAATAATTATTTAAACCAATTTTTTTAAAAATAAATTTAAATAAAAACATTTAATATTATAAAAACATCGGAATAAACAGACTATATGTTACTTATACGTATATGGTTTAGAATACCTCATCTCATAAAAAAAAACTTAATTTTAGTTTTAAAAATTCATTTTTTAAAGTTAAAAGTATATATTAAATGAAAAGAGAGGTACAAGAAAACGGGGATATAAGCCAAAATTCTCTAGAAGATCAACAAAAATGAAAAAAAAAATCTAACAATATTCTTGATAACATCTGCTCTAATAAATATAGGGACCGAAGGTGTGAAGAAAATATAAGAAATGAGGGTTTGAATTGAGTTTTTCACTCTTTAATAAACTTTCGCTTCTAAGTATTATTTGTTGAACAATGCTTCTGAATATTACTTCTAAGTAATGCTTCTAATTAAGTTAAGAAAACAAACTCGAAAGCATACGTAAGAGTAAAATCTAAGTATTATTTAGTTGAACAATGCTTCTGAATATTGCTTCTAAATAATGCTTCTAATTAAGTTCTGAAAACATAAACTATAAAGCATAAGCAAGAGTAAAGAACACACAATATATCCTGGTTCACTTGAGAAATTCCCAAGCTAATTCAATCCACTCGCCCAGGTGATTTTGCCTTAATCAAGGACTTAATCCACTACAACCAAACTGATTACAATCGCACGGGCAACTGCTGGTGACTAACATCCAATGACATGTTCATGGATCTAAACTGGATATAACGTTCATTGACCCAACAAAATCCGAGTCTTCAGAATCTCCTATCAGGATTTTCTTGCAATGATATCTATCGGGGATTCCACAAGAGTTTGACCTTCACTCGGTCCTCTTTGAGATATGACTACCATTGACCCAATAGAAACCACTACCAGGATTTCATAATGACTTTCAGTCACTATCTTCTTGAGAACAGACCTTCACTAAGTCTCTCAAGGAACTAATCAACAACAGTTGATTGGTTTCTTGTGTTTATATGGATGCTTCTTCTAAGTAGATTACACAAGTATTTTTGAGCATATATTGTTTAACACTTATACGAGCAACAACTCAAGTGTTAAAACAATTTACATGAAGAGATATGAACATAAACACTATTCGAGCAACAACTCTAGTGTTCATTACATGATTGTACAAAGATGAATATGATCTAAGTTCAAGTGCAGCATCTTGTAGTCTTCCTGTCTTCATTTTCTTTATTGAGCAAGCTATGAGCAACAACTCCCTGCTTCTTTATATTTCTACCAAGATGTATTTGATAAGAATTTGAATATCATCTTGTTGAATTCTTCTTCATCATCTTCTTGATTTCTTTTTGTTTAGCTTCACTATGTTAAGTGTAACAGCTCTAACAATATTTGAATACCAACAACATTTTAAGCATACGATTCTTTTTTTTATATAGCCAAGCAAAATAGAGTTGTTGACTATTTGAAAAAGAGTCTTTATAAATAGTACTGTTACATCTTTTTCTCTTCCACAATTCAAGCTAGTGGAGAGGTAGTGGAATAAGGCTTTTTCATACTGTGTACTATTGTACCATGTTAACGTTATATTCTTTCCTTCCGCACTTCAGAGGCTTTTGCGAGCATGAGTTTAGAAGCGGAAACATCACATAAAGTCTTAAGAACTTCAAGTCTTCAAAGTATTCATAACTGCGTCTTCAGAGTCTTCAGCACTTGGTCGTGAGAACCCATTGTAGAGAATCTTGGATAAGAAGAGCTTCAAGTCTACAGAGTCTTAAGAGATGCGTCTTTGGAGTCTTCATCACTTGGTCTTGAGAATCCGTTGTAGAGAACCTTGGATCAGAAGAGCTTCAAGTCTTCAGAGTCTTAAGAACTGCGTCTTTAGAATCTTTAGCACTTGGTTCTTTAATAATCCTTTTAAGAACCTTATTATTAGAAACACAAGTCTTCAGCATCTGGACTTCAGTAGAAACTTTGTCTTCTTGAAACATGTTGTCTTTGTAGAAACTAAATTTTTAGCATCTGGATTTCAGTAGAAACGTTATCTTCAGATCTTCTAACTTTGTTTCTTTGGAACACACTGTCTTTAGAAACTTGAGTCTTTAGCATCTGGACTTAAGTTAAAACTTCTGTCTTCAGATCTTCTGACAGTTTCTTTAGAACGCGTTGTCTTCAGAAACATGAGTCTTCAGCATCTGGACTTAAGTATCAACTTTTGTCTTCAGATCTTATGACCGGTTTCTTTAGACAAACATAAGAACCTACACTTCAGAGTCTTATGGAGTGTCTTGCTACTGTTTAACATAACTTATGTAGCACAAAAGCGGAAATAATTCTCTTCTAATGTCTTGGCCACACCATCCATCAGAAACAAAACTTGTTTGCTAAGTACTCAACAATAACAAAAATTAGAGTATCAAAATTGTTCATACAAACATACTCATTTATTATCATCAAAACTCATAGATAATATTGCATAATCAAATCTTATTCTTACACGGACTTCATCTCACCAAACACAATTGGTAAAAGATAAGCCTAATGAAGCTAGTTTACCTGTGTAGTAATTACCTTATATATATATATATATATATATATATATATATATATATATATATATATATATATATATATATATATATATATATATATATATATATATATATATATATATATATATATATATATATATATATATATATATATATATATATATATATATATATATATATATATATATATATATATATATATATGTGAGTAACAAAAAAATATGTGTTATTAGTTAGGTATACACTGTTTAACCATCTATTTATCAGCTGCCAAGGAACTAAGTGATATTTTCCAAATACTAATGAAACTAATTTAGAGTCTATTTTCAACCAAAGGTTAGCCAAACTTTTATCAAAAGAAAATTCAATGGATTTTATGGTTTTATGGAGCTAATCTTAGAGAGAAAAGTTGACACCAAGATTTTATGCAAAACAATCCAATGGTTCACATAGGATTTTCTAAAGATGTCCCCACAAGAAGCAGAGCCCAAAGTGCCTAAAATTGCTCAGTCAATGCTGGATTTTATCTAGTTGAGGAAAGGGGTAGCCAAATGATTTCTTTAATCATGTTAGCTTTTGGAGGATGATATTTGACAGAAAATCTTTCAGAATCTTGAAATCTCAATAGATTGTGAAGTTGTCAGATTTATACCATTCCTATAATGGAGACATTTGAAATAATATA